ATGCTGATGAGCCTTGTGTACCTATCTCTATCACTACAGAAAATGCAATCTGTACCGGGCGGAAAAGAAAACTACTGACATAGAGAAATCCTGAGGCAACAGGAAAAGAGCTAAAAATCTGAAAAAATATGCACCCTGTTTCTAGACATTGGGGCGTCATGATGAGTATTTTTTTGTATTTTACACACAGATATTGGTTAATGTACTAACAATAAAGGCTGAAAATCATCAAAAACCCGCCTGTAACAATACCTGAAATTTGGGTCATGATTATGAAAACAGTATTTTGCGGTCTAAAAACTTCAATAACCTTTGCAATTCTGCTCCAAATAACTTGATTGTTGGTTCATTCAAAAGCTAAACCATTCTCCTTTACACTTCATAAAGGTAGCCAGGTGTTATCTTGTTATGTAAACACTCTACATTTGTTCAAACAATTCTACATGAATAGCTCTGTAGGATCTTTTGCAGACCAGCTAAAGATGTGATGTCACAATAATAAATGTAAAGGAAAGACTCACCTTGTTTATGAACTTGAAATTGAGTGATTTGATCCAGAACTTCAAAAGTTATTGATGTTTGAAGATTTCAAAATCCTGTCTTCAAAACTAGGGGCCAAATTTCAGGTATTGTTACAGGTGGGTTTTTGATGATTTTCAGCCTTTATTGTTAGTACATTAACCAATATTTGTGTGTAAAATACAAAAAAATACTCATCATGACGCCCCAACGTCTAGGAACAAGGTGCATATGTTTTCAGATTTTTAGCGATCTTCCTGTTGCCTCAGGATTTTTCTATGTCATTAGTTTTCTTTTCCACCTGGTAGAGATTAACTTTTTTGTAGTGTATGTCACAGGCTAAATCAGCCGTTGAAGAACTCAAGTATTTCTTGTTTTCTCATCCAGTGCAATACTTCTGGCCTGAAATCAACCAATCCGAGGCTGATCATGTGCGAGCTCTAAGCAGACTGTTGGATGAACTCAATCTCAGACAGACTGAAAATTTGACTCAGCCAAAGATAACTAGCTTCTTCTCCAATAGAAAGCCAGCTCATGTACCTGACACCTTGGGTGTTTCTCTTTTTTCATCATCTGATTTTTATTCTTCTGATGACAATGAAAATGGCAGTACTCATCTCAATGAGTGAGTTTTTCAAATCTCTTGATTGTTTCTTTTGTTACTCTCATCTTGCTTATAACTACCTGGTTTTGATTCCGCTCGATCTTGGTCTTTTGATGACTCCTCTCCCTAAGCAACTTCTCTGATTGAGTATCAAATCATGTCTAATCACAACAACCTACATAAACCATTCCAATTCTACAAGAATAAATCAAGACCCTACATCACTCTCTATTTGTACTCTTGTCCTACAATACATTCTCCAAAAGCTCTGCGTCTTTTTACACAAAACCCTTTGGGTTACAATTATTGCTTCTGTGCATTTCTTGCCTTGTATCAAGGCAAACTTAACAGTTTCAAGTGCCTCCCATCGGAAAAAAATTAAGCATAGCATTTTCCTTGATTGGGAATTATGCTCCTATTCTATAAGAAGCATATTTTATGTAAGCATAAGATTTAGCCCAACCATTGCTATGCTTATACAGGAATTTCACTGTATATCAGACCAAAAAAGCCTTTCTGCCCCTCTCTCTTTTTCATAACACCCCCTCTCTTTACCATATTCATCTCTTTGTTTCTGATCACCCTCCTTTTTGATCACCATCTCTTAGATCACCATACACCCCTCTCAACATACATTCTAACTGCCAACCTTATGCTTTGATCTATCAACATCTGCTCACTCCGTCTTAGGTCTACTCTTCTGTATTAAGTTGTGTGATGTGAATGAATTAAACACCAATGTATCCTTAGGTGGTTGATGACCACAATGAGTTTTTTTAAAAAGTTTGATGCAGTTTGAAAGTTCAATCAGATGGTTGATGACCACTCTGGATGGGTTTTAAAACAGCCTGATGGAGTTTACAACTTCAAGTTCAATGAAGATAAATGGTTGATGACCAGGATGGATGGAATAGAAATTGGTCTGATTGTTCTTGAGAATGATCAAATGATCAAGTTTCATTTGATGTTCACTGTTCAAATGATGGTTACCAAACACTCAACCGGTCATTGAAAGGTCAACAACAATCATTTTGATCTTTTATTGACCTTTTTGGTCGAGTTTTTGGTAAATTAAATAACCAAGAAACGGTTTTTCAATCTGCCCGTTGATATAGGGGCAGATTGATATACTGTTTTTTGGTAAAAGTATATCAGAATTCCTGCCGAACGGGCCCCAGGGTTTCTATTTTATTCTGGATGAAAAAAGGAGAAAAAAGGGGATCTCCTTGCCCAATCTAACAGCATTTTATAAATCATAGTGATGACATTGTTTACTTGATCAAACAAGAAAATCTTATTTAAAGGTGTTGAGACAAATAAAACACAAGAATAAAAAGACCAAGTATACTCAATGAAAAAAACCATTTCATTTCTATCCTCCCCAGTTAATTTGAAACTTGCTCCACTCCAATTTTGTTGGCAAACATCATCATTGAGTAAGTGATCAAAAGCTCAAATTCATAATCTCCTTGAGCAATGGTGAGAGACCATCCTTCAGGGCCCGGTCCCAATGTGAGTATGTACAGGGGTTTCTACCATATCATTCAGCACATATCCCTATGGAACTAGGGTGGTGCCCCAGCCCGGAAATTTCAGGGCTGGCCACGTAGCCAGGCTCAGCCACAAATATACCGGAGGGGATTGAAAAACCACTCAGGTTCAACAAGAGCACACCTTGAATGCTTTGTGGATGCAGAAAGATTGTGAGGAGTTCGCAACCGTGGGACTACCTTTCACTATAAAAATGAAGTGTGGATAAAAAATAGAGTCTTCACTTGCCACACCCAAGTGCAGACTACAGTTACTTGACCTCTAAGCAGAGGATTTGGAGCCAGTGGGTTGGGTTAGATGTCCCTTCTTATGATCTGGCTATAGCTATCCTTCCTTACAATCTGGCTGTGAGCTCTGCTTGACCTTGCAACTCTGGAGCCTGCAGTACTTTATGCTCTGAGGGTGCAGAGGAGCCGCAGGGTAGTTTGAACTCTCTTATGAGCTGCCCTGTGTAAATTCCAAGCTTCTTCTGATAGCTGATAATCCCACAAGCTCATAAAACCACTTGAGGTTTTAAGCTGGCCCAGATGAAAGGTGAAACTTTGAATATCAATAAAACAACAGAATCACTGTACACAATATTCTTTGTGATGACTCAAGTACAATGTGATGAGGAGTTGTGGTATGGTATTAATTGGGCCCCTCCGTAAAGTGGGAAGAGGAAGGGTCTATATATCCAAGAAATAAGTGACAACTGGTGGTTGCTGCTTAGGTTTTTATTTCTCATTGGGTAAGGTTTAACTGTACTACCTAAGTCATTGTTACGTCTTATTTTCATGACTGAATCTTGACACTGAGCCATGAGGTGTAATAATCATGGTTTTGGAAAAGTTAAGATGGACTACTTGCATGAAGTCAGTCCTCTCCTTTCCTCAGTCAACCAGGTCCACCTCCATAGGTCAGGTCCTGTTCCCGATTTTTTTGTGTCCATTGATGAACTTTTGATGTTGAGCTCTTCTTGATGGAGCTTTTGCAGTTGAATTGTTTTACGTGTCCATTCATTAGCTTTTGCTTTTGAGCTGTTGTTAATTGAGCTTTTGCAGTCCACCTGTTGTTATTTGTGCCTTCTAGATTCAGATTGTTTGTCTTGCCTCATCTTCTGGTTCACCTTTACCATCTGTTCAATGAGTTTTTGGGGAAGAGGCTTTTGTAAATCAACCTTCCTCACACCTCACCTGGACCATCTTTTAATGCTAATTACTATGTCTGGACTTTTGAGAAGCACTACTTTCCTTTTACTCCTGCTTTGAGATATTCATTTTTTTGTCGTTCCTTTGTATAGGGTAGTCCAAATTTCCTGTTATTTGTTCAGTTAATCATTTCATTCCATCATTCATCATAAAAGTTAAACGCGAACAATGAATTCGAACAAAATTCACAAATTGCCCGAAACCTCTATTTCTTTGCTGAGCAAATCCAAGTTTTGACCAGCCAAAGTTACGGCCTAGCAATATTTCCTTTCAAATTTCCCCTTGTGCTTCATGAGTCATAAGAAAATCCTCAAGTCTTCTAAACGCACAACCTTTCCGTTCGGAAACACAACTTTTGATGCATCAAATTGCAAATTTCAATCAATTGAATTGCAAATTAGGGAGAATCTTTTATGAATTTCCCAATGCGCTTTGTCAATTGACTGGCAGCACACCAGTAGTCGGTTATCTCTCTATCCATATATGCGACCATATTAGTGCTCCTCCAGCATGCGCACATAATGCCAAGGAATTCTCTATTTCGGATTCTCGAGGTAACCCAGCACCGGCTTCTTAGCTCGACTTTTTAGGTGCCATACGGTTTGGTTGTATAGCATTAGTATATTATCACCTTGATCATCCATATCAAACGTATCAATACACAGCCAAATGCTAACATTTGTTTCTGTTGTTGATTGATAAAATTTGCCCCCTCCGGTCATCCAAGTAGCCGCATTGTACCCGGCAATTACAAAGTGCTTCTTTTGTGTCATTTAATGATGGATATCTCAACTACCTTACGGCTCTTCCTTTAGTAAATCGACTCTGTTACACAAAAAATCGTATCACACGCAGAATTCCACATTTATAACTCTTATTTCAATTCCTTTCAAGATTCAAGATCAAGATCGCGATTTGTCGATGGCCGACATCATGGCAACTACCAATCACAACATCTATCTTTCAGGCCTCTTCGAAGTAGACGAAAAAGTACATATTTTTTACTTTATTTACAGCGAATAATTGGCTAACTACGATCCGGCCGTTTATAGTCATTATCTCGGAGTAGCTTAACCTCACATTCCGGAGCTTATACCTTATCAATTAAATGTTACGGAGCTAACGGTCTTTGACCAATGCTCTACGAAATCGAAGCGCGAGATCAATGTTGCAAAAATTATGGTCTGACTCCAAAGAGTATCTATTTCTTGCGAGGACCCTTCTTCCCCAGCAACACTCAATACACCAAATCCGACCTTTTACTCTTCAAGGGCAAAGATCAATGTTTCATCAGCAACGCTGACACCTTCGCAGGAACTATGACCGATGTGGTTGGGGTCACAGGCGTAGGTGTTGTCTTTAGCATCGAAAGTCTTGAAGAAGAGTTGGCTCCGCCAGACAGAGCAAGAGCACCTGGGGAAATCACCGCAACGATAGTCGTAACTGTCTTGCATTGTGATTATAACCCAATTGTAAGTTCCAGTTATTCTTGCTGCCCCTCTATAAATTGATTCATCTCACGTCGACACCTCTAGACAAAATCACCAGCTAAAGCAAGAGTCGAATATCGAATTCGACCCTTTGGTCAATTGCGTAATGTGCATCGCATCCTAACGATTGGTCGTGAGTACCAATTCCACGGTTTTATCAAGGATTTCAACGACGCTACCGCGTGCTACATCGTAATGGTAAGCAAATCAGCACTACTCCTTCTTCCAACGCTGACTTCCATACACCCAGGTGAATAAAGTCTCGCCTACAAATGTACATACCGAATACAACGTCACTGGACCAAATGCCACTGGGCAGGAAGTAACGGCAGAGACTGCTAACAATCAAACTCAGAGGTTGTCAACTCAATTTAGACTTCCCTGCTTCAAGCAATGCTAACATTTAGTACTGCCGCGGCCTTGATTCTATAATTCTCCCCTTCCAGCCAAACGATCGCACCAACTCCCACAGTTGGGCCTACACTCGAGTCAACACCAGACATTATGGAAACAAGCCGTCCGATAGATAGCAACGAATTAAGAACACGCATCGCAACTATCCAAGAATCACAACCTGTCATGGAAGAAGAAGATTACGGAAATTAATCTGGACCCAGGCTCCAACCCAAGGCAGTTACAATGTTAGTTGCCCGATAGTACACCAGCTCCCTGTTACTCCTAAATCAACTCTGAAGCCCTGGGCCAGTTGCCTTCCTCCTTAATACGCGTTTAGCTGACACCAAAGCAGGAATGTACAACTACGTCTGTCATGGAAAATCAGCATTACCGCCCCACTGCGTTTTCCCTCAGTTATTTCATCCTTAGTCTCTTATGTCTGTTTGTTTCACTTCGTCTCCAATAGAAATGTAACCCTTCCAATTACTCCACAGTGCCTTATACAAATTACACGTGACAACGCACAAATCTGTAGCTGCCACAAATTACTGAAAGTTTACAGTAGAAATAGGTCAATAGACGGCGAGTTGCCAAAACCACCCAACGCGTCCCCGCAGTGCCATATTTCCATTGAAATTGCCGAACCACAAACATTAATAGCAAGTATCGTTATGAGGTAATTGTGGAACAATGCACGTGAAAGTTGCTTGAAAACTCGCAACATGTACCAAACTGTTGCTCTCGTACATACAACCTAAATCAAGTATATAGCCACATGAGAATATCATTGAAGGATTCTAACAAATCCCGCCAGCCACAAACAATTTTCCTTGCTCCCGAACACCCATATGATGACCCAAAAAATCAGCAATGATCTACATTTAACATCTGAGGATTAAAATCGCAATTTTTTTTTTCTTCCAACAACGACTACAGATGAAACAAGGTTGCAATGAATGACACACACGAGACTCATCACCATCGGCTATGGTAAGATAGGATACCGACTCGGGCTCTCCATCAACATTAATAACTTAATTTACGTGTATGAACAAGTACTTTTACGCTTCGCACTCTATTGTATAGATCATAAATTTGATCAATTGAGTATAAAAGTGTAGGCACAGTAATATACTAACCAGGACTCATTCAGCACTAATTTCAGTTGCCCATTAATCAATACTCACTACTCTTCCAAAGCTCTTCGTCACTAATACTACTTAGAATGTCAATCGATAAATCCATAGCTTGCCTTATTCCAAGTTCTTCTGCAATTATCTATTTTCAGTACCATTCAATTTTAGCTGAATTAAGCAAAACTCACAAACCTCATCGTTACACTATTGTCTTCTCTAAAACCGAAGTCCCATACATGGAAATCATACTCGAAGCCAACATCTTTGTTAGCGTTCCTAATTTTCAACAAAGCCCCTGCGCGTTTTCCCGAATGCATGGCTCCGTTGGGGTTCACCCATTAGGAGAGGATATATACTTAAACTTGTGAGTTCAGTCAGGTTGTCAGCTCTTCCACCCAATTACTAATTTGTCCCGTTGTATTTTGGCAATGGTAAGCCAACTTGAGAACGTAGGAAATTTAAATCAACATACTACTCGAATCGCAAATCGTCATCGCACCCACGCGGAATTGCCTCAAGAAAGCTGTAAGTTATCCATTAATCCAGGGATACTGCGTGTGGATGCATAACTAAACTAAAAACTCTTTTTTTCCCTACCGCTTCGCAGACGTATTTCATAGCTGCGTAGTATCTGATACTGAAACTGGATCGACATGTTGCTTAGTCGCAATTGAACACCAGAAGCGTGGACTACCTCACGTAAACTTTGTTGTTCAACATGGAGTTCATGCGTGAATTTTAAGCTCAGCAGTAGCATCATATTCACCCGTTTACACCGTAATGACAGACACAAATCCTTACCACAATTGTCCAGTTTCCTACTTTCTAATCATTGCACTTCATGAATAGTTTCACACTGCACTTGATGATAATTACATGTTCTTAGTCTCTCCAGCCCGTTTGCTCAGCGTTGTTATCCTGAACATTCAACGTGCTCATCCTATAGTTCATGTCACATCTAAAATTAGGCAACAAAAAACTATTCTCTTTCTGTGTACGTAGAAATTAAGTGACCCATAGTGTTTGGTTAATGTAATCCATCACAGACACAAGCACAGCGTATGTTAAGTTTCCTGCACCTTTATTCAAACAATCAATTAAGCATGATAGACATGGCCTATCGCAGAATATTTTCATGAGGATCGCTAAACTCAAAACCCAAAATATCATGGTAGTACAGAGGTAAATTACCATTTAAAGATATTATCATCTTCAACTCCACAAACAAAGCAAACCTGTTGCATTCAACTCCTGAAATAGGGAAATTGTTACGGTTAGGGCTTAGAGCTTAGGGCTTAGGCCTAGGGTGTTAGGGTCAGGGTAGAGGATATTTTTCATGCAGGATCCGGCCTCTGGGACCCCCCCCTGCCGGCTTTTACTTATTGTTTCATATCAACTCGAACGATTTACTTTCCAATTCATCAAGCTCCCTCTACTCATGTTGATCAGTTGGTATCTCCTTGCTAGGTCGCCCATGCGACCTTCCCACTCACCCGACGAATTGCCGCGAGGTGCACGCGCGAGAAAAGCACACCAACAAATTCACCCTAAATAAACATCAAAGACTCCAACTGACCAATTTCGCAAAGCCGCTTTGAAGATCCACCCGATGTGGAGTTTCTTTCGGCCAACAAATATAATTTTGGAATGTATCTATTTGCAAATGTAGATTCGAGAATAGAACTTATTTGGCTTCATGCATCATCTGCATATGTTGATTTGACGATCCGTACCACCAAGCCGTTCAAGCAATTCTACTACCAACTATATTAAAGTCCTAGCAAAGTTGCAATTCAACACAAATTCAAACCAAGTTTTCCAGCTAAAAAATTATTTCAGTCAACTCCAATTCAACCTTTGCTAATGAAAATCTCACATCTCGTTCATCGCAATAAAATGTCTCAATTACCCGATGTCAGAATTATGATCACAAAAACTTTCAGGATTTCGTTAAGAGAGTGCTCTGACATCTTAAATTAAACCGCTACCTATAAACGAGCTACTATGGAACTTGATATCGGACAATTAAGAGATGCTAAGTCAACATCTGTGTAAGTAAACATCTCTATTCTCTAAAGTAAAAATCATAGCTGGAATTACCACTAGACTCAAATTGCTATTTGGCTTCATACGACTCATCAACATTTACATTTCAATTTCCATTTACATTTCGGATGCACGATATCAATTCAAAACTACATCTGGAGTTCGAATATTTGATTCAAAATAATGCATTTCAGATTGAGTGACCTCACTGCAGCATCGCCCCTCTATTTCTGCTGACTATATAATGATTAGCTATATAGAGACGTACATCAAAAACTCAAGATACTATAACCTGCAAGGCAATCTGCTGCATCTCCAGTTTACTCGTACTGTCCTACTGTCTTAGAACTCCCTTTCAAATCAATTGAATCAATCAATTGAATCAATTGTTCAACGCAACTATCAAAAAATTCGTCAAACCATTAACTCACTTTGATCACAGTGGACTTTATTGATTCATATTGATATATAGATGTGTTATTAAAAGTTGATTATTAAAAATTGATCCTGCTGTATGTCTCTTTCTAATCATCCAGCAACTTCCTCGCTCCCTGACGATCATTGTTAACCTAACTAACCCCGGATCTTATAACTATACTAAGGCGCATCACAAAAAAAAATCCGATACAACTCTTTTGATTACTTATTATCCACCCTGTGCGTTCTTCGACATTTCTCTGTTTCAAAATTCCATGAGTAATCTGACTGATAATCATGGTATTTATGTCCATAACCAGCGTCACATCTTGCGACCTCTACCAATGGCTGATCCAAGCGAATCAACAACTCATGGCCTTTACCTCACCGGTAACTTTGAAATTGAAAAAAAAGTAAGCGCTTTACATTGATTTTGAATCCACTACCTAATCCAACTTTGACTGACAAAACTTTGTAGACCTCACCAGAAAACGGCTGGAGATCAGAATATCGCACTTACACGACCTGCATCAGCGCCGGTGGTGCACACCGTAAGAATCCCGTTAGCTACGAAATTCAAGCACGAGGTTTCAGCCCAGCCCAATTTAAACTCGAGGAAGGCACTATTTACTATTTACAAGGGCCTTTCTTTCCTTCTAACACTGAAAATACTGAAGCCAACGTATTATTTTTTGAAGCCTCTGACCGAGTTCTTATTGGGCCCGCTGACACTTTTCCGGGTGACTTGGTGGACTCAATTGGAGTTACCGGGGTTGGCATCGTCACGGCGCTTGACAAAAGGCCCGAACCCAACACGACCGGATGTCTACCAACCCCAGGCGATGGCGAGAAGATTGTTACAATTGTCACAGTTCTGCATTCTGATTACCACCCAATTGTTTGTTCTCACTATATCCCCTTCCCAGGCCGTTAACTTACTGTTTTGTATTACAGTCGAAGCATGCTAAACAATTCAAAATCGAGTATCGAGTTCCACCTACTCGCAATTTGGCCGGTATCCCAAAGATATTGCAAGTTGGTCGAGAATATCAATTCCATGGATTTCTCAAAGATTTCGACGAAGAAAAATCCCTTTACATAGTCATGGTAATTTTCGTTTTCTCAGTTCCTAATTTTCTTTGCTAAAGTCGCCTTCTTAACGCCTAGGCATCCAAGGTGTCCCCTACTACTGGGAGTAAAGAGTACGACGTGGGAGCCACCTCTAATGAAGCCAAAGGTGGAGATGTGAAACCAAATGTAACAAGCAAGAAGCCGGCGAAGTAAGTTCCAATTCTTTAATCACAGCACTGAATTCACTACACTAACCCATCGACAGATTCATTCCGAGATCCTTGCACACAGCATTCAAGTCGCCTGTTCTCAGTACCGATTCTGAGTCCCCGACTAGCCTCCAATTTGGCCCATCCGACTTCACACCCTCGTCATTTTCGCCTGCTTCTTCACGTCCTACCGCTGGCCCCTCCAACAGTTCTTCTGATTCTGCGACAACTCCTGGAATCCCGACTTTACCCAGCAAGAGAAAAGGTCGAGCTCAACCCAAGCGTAACCCTAAGAAGAGTAAGACCCTCGATCTAACTCACCAAGAATAGGAATTTGCTTCAAAACAAAGAGTGAAGAGGTAAGTCAGTCACCATACAATTTGAACAAATCTTGAATAGAATTCTCAATCACGCTTTGATTTGCACATTTATCCAAACTTAATTGATCCAGCCTTGTGAACAATGTTATATATTCGACGTACTCGAATGAGACAAATACTTCTTTTTTCTTCTGATACTCTCTGACTATTGAACAACTTGACCACCTAAAAAAACTCTAGACTCATCTTTTATCATGTCTGCCAATGTTACAGTATTTCCAATCGCAAACAGATGCATTTATTTTCCTACTTATCACCTCTCATTACTAAATAACTAAACATAAAAAAAACTTTAAGTGAATCCAATTTCTTAGCTGTCATTTCCATTGTTCAAAGTTCCACAATTAACACATGTGAGATGATATTTGTTGAAAACTATTACTTTGTATGCTATAACACCACTGACAACCATTTTCCTCCTCGACTTATTTCTCTCAAATAACACCACTTATTTTGATCTCCTACCGAAACGCTCCTGGGTCGAAGCCTCCTGTGATCCGTTTGCAAAAATTCTAAGTAATCGTGATTCCTAATTGAGTATTAGGGAAATGCATGAGAATGCAATCCTGCGACCACGAGCAGTCCACTTACCTCAATTGGTGTTCTGTTAATTATCCCGTCGATTTTTTTGCATAGAGCATGAATTAACTTGAACAGTTCTTCTCTTTCATTGCCACCAACATACCTAGCACCTCCTAAATCAACACCATTGTCAGTCACAAAAGGCCTGGGCTTGGTTTAGTTATCGTAATCACCAATCCCAAAACTCAGTATTTGTAGCACCACATCTCACAACTCTTCAAGGAGAGATGATGAAACCCAATACTATGTATATAGTTACTCAGGAGCGCTGCAGATTTACAATCAATGCGTCATAGGCAAGCCCCAGGAATTTACCGCTGCCTCCCCATCGTTTCATGAAGTGGCAGTTAATTTGGACAGTACGTCTCCCCTAATTCGGCCACGATCCTTGAGCCTTTGTCCAATCATTCACGTCCAGCAAGAACTGACGTTTCGGCCGTCTGATCTCAGGGCTTCAGGACACATACTAAGTTTTGAATGCTGCGTGTCCTAATCGTCCTAATCGTCATAATTGGCATGGAGAGAACAAGATGTACAAAGTGTGATTACAAGAGCCTTCTCCTAAAGTTATGTCATTGCATCTCTTCGCGGTCTCTCTCATCTTCCAAGCTAATTCTTCTCGATCTACTACTTATCAGATCAAACTCAGCAGATTGGTTCATGCTTTTGAGCTTTAATTGACAACACATATTCTCAACTACTTAACAACCGACAACCAGCATAGAACGGTAATTCCAGACCCACCTTGCAGCAGGGTTTGTAACATAGTGTTTTTTTCATTCTTTCAAGAATATGTCCATATAAAGTGACGCTGTTTTGTTTGTAAAACAAAACATAATTGATGTTGTTGCGTTTGTAAAAAAGGAGACAACACTTCTACGAGGCCATTATCTCGAGAGCGGAAACTCAAGTTGCCATTTTCTTAAAGGTCAAAAGCAGACAACAAGGAAGTTTAACTCGAAATCAAACAGTACGTTGATGATCTTTATTATGAACATGCAGAGTCTTAGCTCCACAAGTAAACTAATTAAAACCTACGGCCTTCATTATCTACGTCACCATAAAGATATGCCAATCTACCGAGCTCGCAAAGGCCCTGCAATTTGATCAGAAGCTTTGGGTAGTGAAATCAACCTCCGCACACGCTTCCCGCTCAAAATACCGCATAACATAGGGCATCCCAACGACAAATGCTCAAAATGCGGAGCACTTAGATGGAAAGTTGAGAGACGGGTAAAAGATGCAAGGCTTTTAAGTTCCACTTATGGGAACTGTTGCCAGCACGGAGCAGTCGAGTTGCCGTTGCGTTATTTCGCCGAGGACATGGGCCAAGATGTCCCGCCGTTTTACCGCAGTCTTTTAACTCAGCAAACCGATGGTAAGTGCAGACGCTATTATTGACCAACAATCAATACTTAAAAGTATTTCTTCCAGTGGCTATCAAATTCCGATTGGATATTCGCAAATACAATAACGCCATGTCTTTCACGTCGCTCGGAGCAAATATCGACAGATCAGTCATGGGCCAACGGGGAGTATACATCTTCCGAATCTCAGGTCAGTTGTCACACCCAATTGGCTCTCTAATGCCTCTACCAGGAAATCACCCAGGTTTCGCTCAGATATTTGTATATGGTGGAGGTGGAATGGCGGAAGCACATGCCAGGAATCAACATTTCAACTTTCAACTCAATCCTCAAGTTCTGGAGCTTTTCCAACGGTTTATGGACATGCACAACCCTTATACGCATGTGTTTCGCAGCGCAGCTGCAATATGTCACAACAGGGACACTCGCTCCCTTCGAATCAACACAACTACCGCGCCGGGTGCTGACCATCGACGATACAATCGCCCAACTGCAAATGAAGTTGCAGCTATCATCGAAGGAGATGGGCAAGTCGGAGCTCGGCAGCGTGATATAGTACTTCAGCGCCAAACTGGAGATATGCAAAGAATATCCAAACTCCACACAGCCTACTTCGCACTCCGGTATCCATTATTATTCCCTTTTGGATCCCAAACCTGGCACGAAAACTTCACAAATCCAACTGAGGAAAGTAAGTCAATTCAAATCCAAACTATTGGTCGACAAAAGACACTAACAAAGTTCCTTTTGAAATTAACATCACTGTAAACATCATTCAACTTCCCCAATTTGGCAGAGGAAAATGATTAATAGTACAGTTTTTCATAAAAGAATCTAATACTGCACACCTGGGCCATTTCACCCACACTACATATGTGCAGCAAGCTAAGTCAATAGTTGTCTATCATGTACATACAGGTCTGCTCAGTTTTTTGCCCATCAGAATAAATAAATCACATGTTATACCACATGTAACTTTTTCGACTTTGAAATTTTTTTCCCAAAAATTCACTACATATAATTCTGTAGCTGCTCAGGCAATATTGTTGAAGCTATGTCTTAGTAACAGAAAGTGTGTTACATGCAGTTGAGTTGATGAGATCACACCAAAACATTGAGTCAGTGTATGTAGTCAATCTTTTGGAAGCTTTTTTCAATCTGAAAGAAGTTACAGCATGTATTACATATGAATAACTTGTCCTGATGAGCAGATAACTGAGCAGAACTGTATGTACATGATAACCACATATTCACTGAGCCTGCTACACATATGTAGTGTGGGTGTTATGGCTCAGGTGTGGAGTGATAGACCATTTTATGACAAATCATACTCCCAATCATTTTTCCCTGCCCACTTGGGGAACCCGAATAATGTCTGCAGTGCATAGGACCCAGCGGCGAAGTCACAAACCTAGAGTGGTTTGCTTATCTACTTTTCCAGCGGGAAGCTTTCTCTATCATCCTTGCCGCAGGTCGACTTTTCCAGGAATTCGCCGTTGACATGTATGTTTGCGTAGAACACTCCCGTCTTGCATTTATCAGATCTCACCAGAGGGAGCTTCGTGCCGAGTTATATCATGGAGCCGTTGAAGCCCTTAACAATGAAGTGGACGATGAAGAAGTTGGACGGCGTGTAATACTGCCCTTGAGTTTCATCGGCGGACCTCGCCATATGCAACAACTTTATCAAGATGCGATGAGCCTCGTGGCAGAGTTCGGACATCCAAGCTTATTTCTAACGATGACGGCGAATCCTAAGTGGACGGAAATCCTTGATGCTCTTGAACCTGGTCAACTGCCTGAAGATCGCCCAGATATAGTAGCCCGCGTCTTTCATGCAAAGTTTCATTCTTTACTTGAAGACGTTACCAAGCAAGAACGCCTCGGGAAGTGTCTAGCTTATATTTACACAGTTGAATTTCAAAAGCGTGGATTACCACACGTGCAATTAATATTATTCCTCAACCCAGCAGACAAGCCAACAAGAGCAGAACAGATTGATTGCCTAATATCCGCCCAACTCCCTGACCCAGTAACAGAAAGCCATCTATTCGATTTAGTCACTACATCTATGTTACATGGTCCCTGCCAGAATTACAAGTGCTGGACAGGTTCAGAATGTCAACTGGGATATCCACGCCCTTTTTGCGAGCAAACGGAGCTTGCTGAGGATGCCTATCCAACCTATAAAAGACCCAATAATCATTGCCAGTTTATTAAAGGTCAAGATCACTACGACAATCGAAGTGTAGTTCCATATAATAGATTCTTAACACTGAAGTACGAATGCCACATTAATGTAGAGGTTGCTGCGAGTATAAGAGCAATAAAATACTTATTCAAGTATATCTTGAAGGGTCACGACCGAACTATGGCAACTGTCGATGACCCAGATAAGGATGAAATTTTGACCTTTGTAAATGCTAGATTTCTTTCAGCGACCGAAGGTATGTACCTTTCGTTGCTTCCTCCTTTCGTAACACAATATCATCGGTTAACCCTCTTCTCCAACCTAGCCATCTGGCGCCTGCTCAAATTTGAATTGTCTGGTAGACATCCAGCAGTACAACGTTTAAGCCTACACCTTGAGGGACATCAAACAGTGTACTTTCTCGATGGGGACGGTCTACGGAGAGCAATTGACACCGGACGCGCAGAGAGGACTACTCTGACGGAGTTTTTCCGTTTATGCACGGCTAATGCTCCGCTACGAGGAACCAATCGCACAATTTGATCCTTGAAATATCAAGAGGTGCCGAAATTTTTCACCTGGAACGAACGAACTAAGCATTTGGAACCTCGACGTAACAGTTTGATGTCAGTTGGCAGAGTTTTCTTCGCAAACATCAAACGTGGCGACGTTTACTATCTAAGGTTGCTGCTGTCGCACATCGCGGGTCCACGATCTTTTGAGCACTTGCGCACAGTTGATGGAGTTCGCCTGAATAGCTTCCGCGAAGCTGTGAACAGCCTCGGACTTTTGCTAAATGACCAGCATTACCATGACTCTCTTCGTGAAGCAGCAACTTGGAAGACAGGACGACAGTTACGACACATGCTCGCAATTATTTTGATTCACAGCTCTCCAGCGAACCCCCGATCTCTTTGGTTGGATCATATTAGCGATCTA